GCACCGCACCCCCCCCCGCTCCGCCCCCTCCCCCGCGCCGTCTCAGCGCCCCCCCCGGCTCCAGCGCCCGCCCAGCGCCCCCTCCGCCCCGACCACTTTATTTCGGCACCGCACCCCTCCCCCTCCGCCCCCTCCCCCGCGCCGTCTCAGCGCCCCCCCGCGGCTCCAGCGCCCGCCCAGTGCCCCCTCCGCCCCGGCCGCTTTATTTCGGCACCGCACCCCCCCCCGCCCCGCCCCCTCCCCCGCGCCGTCTCAGCGCCCCCGCGGCTCCAGCGCCCGCCCAGCGCCCCCTCCGCCCCGACCACTTTATTTCGGCACCGCACCCCCCCCCCCGCTCCGCCCCCTCCCCCGCGCCGTCTCATCGCCCCCCCGCGGCTCCAGCGCCCGCCCAGCGCCCCCTCCGCCCCGACCACTTTATTTCGGCACGCACCTCCCCCCTCCGCACCCTCCCCCGCGCCGTCTCAGCGCCCCCCCGCGGCTCTAGCGCCCGCCCAGCGCGTTCGCCCCCCTGCCCCCCCCCCTGCCCCCGCCCCCGCCCAGGCTCCCCAGGGCAGCCCCCCTGGACCTCGGACACCTTTATTTTCGCGTCGTGTCGCGTCGTTCGCCCCCCTGCCCCCCCCCCGCCCAGGCTTCCCAGGGCGGCCCCCCTGGGCCTCGGACATCTTTATTATCTTGCGCAGCTGTGCTCTAGAGCTCGGACATCTTTATTATCTTGCACAGCTGTGCTCTAGAGCTCGGACATCTTTATTTTCGTGTCGTGTCGTGTCGTTCGCCCCCCTGCCCCCCCCCTGCCCCCCCCCCCCGTCCAGGCTCCCCAGGGCAGCCCCCCTGGGCCTCGGACGCCTTGATTTTCGCGTCGCGTCGTGTCGTTCGTCCCCCTGCCCCCCCCCCGCCCAGGCTTCCCAGGGCAGCCCCCCTGAGCCTCGGACATCTTTATTTTCGTGTCGTGTCGTGTCGTTCGCCCCCCTGCCCCCCCCCCCTGCCCCCCCCCAGACCCAGCTCCCCCGTCCAGGCTTCCCAGGGCAGCCCCCCTGGGCCCCGGACATCTTTATTTTCGTGTCGTGTCGTTCGTCCCCCTTCTGGGCCACCCCCCCGTGGGGGCCCTGAGACCCAACCCCCCTGCCCCCCCCCACCCCCCCCCTCGGGGCCCCTGGGGGCCCAGCTCCGCCCAGGCTTCCCAGGGCAGCCCCCCCGGGCCACGGAACCCTCACCTCCGTGCTCCCCTGGGCCACCCCCCCGTGGGAGCCCTTGGGAGCCCTCCTCCGTCCAGGGTTCCCAGGGCAGCCCCCCTGGGCCACGGAAACCTTTATTTTCGTCGTCGTCCTTCGTTCCTGGGACACCCCCCGTGGAAACTCTTGGGAGCACCCCTCCGTCCAGGCTTCCCAGGGCAGCCCCCCTGGGCCACGGAACCCTGTATTTTCGTCGTGGTCGTTCGTGGTTCGTGGAAACCAGGCCAGGCCCAGAAATCGTCGTCGTCGTCCTCCTCCTCCTCCTCCTCCTCCGCTTTCTTCCTGGCTCCTCGTAAACCCCTCCTGGAAGAAGGAGGCGGGGGCCTCCTGTCCTTCGCAACTCCTTTGTGCAAGAGCCAGGGCACGCGTGCCACTTGTTCCACCGCCTTCCGCCGACCTTCCGCCGCCTTCCGCCGAGGAAGAGATGGCAACCCCTTCGACTCTCGAAAGCAAGGCCATTTTAGAACGCCTCACATGAACGAACCTGCATGCTGGGAACCCTGCATCCATCCCGGTAGCTGCGATGGACCGAGAGCGCGATTTTGAAGGGTCCGCGCCCTACCCCGTGTTAAAATCTTAGCAGCTTCTAATACGCGGCCTCACGCGCGAGGAAGTCTCAGGCGAGTTCCGAAAAATTAGCGCAGTCTATCTGGAAAGCCATCGGCAGTTCCGCGATACTGGATGAAGACACGGGCGACACTCAGATGTGTCGAGCGCCCCACCCGTCGGTGATGCAGATGCTGCAAGCTTTCAAGACTGACGGCGCTAAGGCCCATGCTGCATGTGGAAGAGGACCGCCATCAATTCGCGCAGCTGGTGGGATTTTCGAAACGAACGTGCGCGGCGCTACGCTGGAGGCAGCACTCGCAAGGAAAGACACAGAAGAACTCCGCTCGTGAAGCTCTTCGAAGCGCAGGCGACGAGTGCGCGCGGCGCTGAGGCCACGGCCACACTGGGAGAAGACAAAAAGCACTCCGTCCGTGAGTTTGCAGTTTTGGGAAAATTCTGCGCGGCGCCGAGGCCACAACCACATTTTGAAGGCCACCCGCCTTCCGCGTGCGGAACTGCTGGAAGCATTCAGACGCAAACGTGCGTGGCGCTATGGCGAGAGCCATAGCCTGAAAACTATCCGTCCTCCACCTGTAATCTAGCTCTTAAGAAAGTTCCGCGCGAACGTGCGCCGGGCTAAAACATGAGCCATACAGTAAAACTCAGCCACCAGCCCTCCATCTGCGCAGCTGCTGAAAGTGCCCAGCTGCATGACTAGCCACAGTGCCGCGCGAGGCACTGAGCCGCATGTCTTCGTGTTTCCTTG